AGAATGACAGAATTATCAGCCCTGCAGAACTGATTGTTAAGTGCCTGGCAGTCAATTTTTGGACATAAGAATCCTATTTTTGCCTGGGTTTTTATTGAATTTCTCCAAAGTGGATTGCAGGAACTTATGCCTGGAAAGAATTTTATGGGCACTCCAGGCAGTACTTCATATAATCCTCATCAAGGGCTCTAATGGGTTTATTTGTTCGTCAGTGGCTCTACTCCACACGTTCAGTTGTGTACCAGAAGCTCCGTGATGGCTCAGATGGGAGCTGGGGAGCGGTGAGGGCTGCTGGGAGAAGAATCTGGCTGCATCATTCTCATCCCTTGCAGAGTTGGGTCCTGCAACCAGGCAGACTCTTTCAGCTTTTGAATTTCAGCCTTCACTGAGACATTTACCTGAGTATCCTAATGGTGCACATTCAGCTTCCAAAAACTTAGAAGTAAAGGCATAGCTAATCCAAAAACTAAAAATAAAAAGAATACAACATATATTTGAAATAATTCTTCCACTGCTTCTTAACGGAGGACAGGAACAGCTGTAGATATTAAGGAATTTAGACAAGACAGCTTTAAATAATTTATTTAACATTTCAGCAGATAATCCATCAGGAAAAGCAAGATCACTGAGTGGGTGGGTAGTTGCCCATCATAACTTCTCAGGATCCAATTTCTTACCCCAGCGAAAGAGCTCATCATCTCGGCATCTCCCTGCCATCCACAGAAAGACTGGAGAGCAAGCGTTCAACTGGGAGACTCTTCTAGTAAGCAACATGATAGGCTGTTTCAGTCTACACAAAGTAGCATCTGGCCTCAGTGCATTTAAAAATAATCTGTTTTGACTAGTGTATCTTACATGATAGGCTATCATGTCATGTTCTGGCACCAACAAAAGATGTGAACAATATGAAATGTCATGTTAGGCTAAAGATGCAAAAAATGTTGCAGAAATGCAAACAATGTTGGCTTCATCAAAGTGATGTTTTCTATCAGGAAAAACACTTCAAGAAAAAGGTTTTTGAATACAGTTGATCTGGAGGGTGAGGGTGTATTTCTTTTTAAAATGAGAAGGGGAAGCATTTTGAGAAACGTGGCAGGAATTACATTTATCCAGAGATAGGAGAGACTGACCCAGTCATTCCAGTTTTTATCTTTAGGCTTTACAGCTTCCATCTCAAATTCTAGCCATCACAAAAAGGTACAAATCTGTCTCTTTGGTGCAAATAAAACTTTCACATGTAGTTGCCAATAACAATGCAGCAAGTCTAACATCTGAAGAGGGGCTACGGAATTTAACTTTACTGAAACCTGACTAACTTTGAATTCAGTCTGTATTGTTGCTCTGTGAATACTGCTCTGCTCTGCTTGGAAAAAAGCAGGTAACTTTGTATTTAAGCTTTGCTCTCTGTAGGTGCAAGGTTGGTGTGGTAGAGGGGCTCCCTAGTTTGGTGATACTATAATCTGATTAGTGAGGATTGCCTCCAGTACTGAATTGATAAATAATCCAAAATTATAATAAGGGAGGAAGTCTTGATTTATTTCATTTAGCTTTACTTTTTTGAACTTTGTACAGTTCTTACTTGATTCATGATTTAAACATGTTTTTTATTCATATCCTCTCTTTTTAGAAATTATTTATAGTTCTTCTTTCACAGTGATGTAAACCCTGTGATGCATTCATGATAGTATCTCATTGATGGCTGGATTACTGAAAAGTGCTCAGATCCTTCAGGAATGAGAGCAGTCAGTTTTAACATGAAGGAACTTTCAAAGCATATCTTGGTGTTTGGGTCTCTATTTTGAATCTGAAAAGATGTTTTGTGTAATGAGAAAAGAACCTGTTTTTTTAGGCAGGGCAATTATTTGGGTGAATTGAAAATGTGCCAGAAGAGAAGGGGAACTTCTTTGTCTGAAGTAAATGATGCTTTCATTGTGGTCTGTCTATCGAACAACCAAAATGGCAGATCAAAATAAATACAAGTTTTTTCCAGCTTTCTGCCCTTTTGTTCAATCCCTAACTCTTTCAGAGCAGTCATCAGTCAAAATGAGGGACAACAGACAATTCGTGTCTAAGTTACGTGTTTTCTTCCAAGCCAGATGACGACTGCTCCCGTATGAAGTGTTTATCCTATGAAGTGCCAGCAAAACTCGGGCCATCTCATTTTTGATTCAGTAAAGCATTTTCCATCATAGCATTACACTTAGAGGTGTAATTGCAAGTTCTGCGGGATCCTGGATTTACTTTAAAGTATGCTAGAGACCTTTTTAAAGCAAACACGGTTTCTGCCCACATGATTGCAGGAAGAGGAAAAATCATTCCTCTTTTTACCAGCCCTACAGCCTACACACAGTTGAGAGCATCTGCAAGTCTGGGAGAGGTCCTGGTCCTCCTTTCAAGTCTTAGCGGATTAGTCTGTCCTGAAAGTAACAATTTCCCCCACCATCTTGAAGCATGCCTTTAAAAAAAGAAAAAAAAAAAAAAAAAGAAACCAAATGGTATCCTACCATTTTAGTAACACTGGTGGCTCATCTGAAAGAAGAGGAATTCTCACGCTGGTTGTTGGTGGCGCACGGACATCGCAGAGATGTCTGGGTACCCAAGAAGGAAGGATCAGAGATATACAAACACACAGACACGCAGAGCAGTCTACTGTTCTTCAGAAAGGAAGCAAGCTTCCGCTTGATAATGGAAGATTTGAAGGAAATGGCATAATATTTTCCACAATATAAAAAATGTGTATTAATAAGGATCCCATATTTCTTGCTGCAGTTTCCTGGACAGAAATATGTTTGAATGTGGACCATAGCAGAGGTCCAGCACACCCAGAAGCATGGTGCACAGATAACTACATATATATGGAGTCCAGCAAGTCCAGAGCACATTGGGATCTACCTGTGTGCACGGGTCAAGTCCATTGATAGCTGGCATATGATTTTTCTGTTCTGGGAGGATTTCCAGGTGGATAAAAGGAACGTGCATGAAGTCCTGATGGGATAATAACTCACTGTGTATATATTTCACATGCTGGTAACCAGTGCCTTCCCTAAAGGGTGATAAGTCACCAAAAATGTTTAGTGCCAGACCAAATGGATCTTCCGCTACTACCTCTTTCCAGTAGCAGGAATTCCTGGGGAAGCTCTTGAAGGAGGTTACACCATGCCTACAACATGCCTCCTGTGAACCCGTCCTATCTGTGCCATCCCAGAAACAGCTGTCAGACCCAAGCCCAGGAATCGTCACTGCACCGTGACGCCGGCTCCTGTGCTGCGTTGTCATTAACAGCTGCCATAGCTTCACAGGGTTGTCCCAATGTAAGCAGGGAACCAGGAGAGGCAGACAAATTTGCGTTCAACATGCATGCATTTAAAAACATGCAATAGCTGTCCATGGTACAGAGGTAGCCTCACGGAAAGCTGACTACATGGCAATTAGTCCAGAAGGCAAATGCCACTGGTACCTCTCTGGGGACCTAAAGGCTGGAGTGTCTCACGGAAAAACATGAATTAAATTTCCTCTCTTTAATAAAAAACACGAACATTAAGTACTGTTCATTAGGTTTATGACTTCACAGGCTGTGCTTTCATGTTTGCTGCAGGTTTTCCTGAGGTTAAGGCAAACCAGAGCTGGGGCTGTGACATAAGTCTAGCATTGCTGCCTCCGATCTCTTCGTCCCTGTTCCCCTCATCTTGCCCAAGAAAAGAATTTAGCACTCATGCTGAAATGTCCTGAAAGTCCTAACAAGAGAAGAGAAGTTAATGCTGTCTAAAGGAGTGTTGCTGTGACATTCTCATTTGCTGGGAGCTTGTCCTCACCTGTTTTAACATAAGGACAATATAACCAACTTTATTAGTGCAAGTTGTCAGAGACTCTTAAAACTCTCCTTGGACAGCAGCGACAGGGAAGAAATTCATTATAAAAATCTGAATCTTGGATCTGCCGCACACACTTTTCCCAAAGGTGGGATAATACCTCAGCATACCTACTGCCGGCATGACTGGCTTGGAGGCAAAACACAAATTGCAATTGTTTCATAACACTCCGGGACTTCCTTTGGAGGATACAAATGCTTCAACTTATTTGTGTGCAAACTACATTTCCTCAGACATCTATCATGAGATTTTTTTCTTCTGTATTTAATTAATGGTGGCTAGATGATACTGTAAAAGAAAAAGGATTTTTACCATTTGAGATATCATAAGTATTGTTAAAATGGAGGAATTTGCTGAAATTACCCAGATTAATTAATGCTTTGGTGGCCTACAAAATTCATGTGAGTCTATTGCAAGTAACACTCTGCATTTCAGCCCATGGTGTAAACGTTGAGCACATACCTGTTTCAAAACTAAATGAAGCCTCCATTTTCCTGGCTACACGGAGGGAAGTATTTTCCAGGATTTGCAGTCTCAGTGGCTATTTAACAGCTGCAGAAGTAAGCACAGAAAGTCAAATTAGTTTAAAGGTACCCATGCTGTGAGACGGGGAGGAGGCCAGCGAACTCTGGGGCACGGGCGTGGAGAACTGATGATCAGTTCTGGACTCCTGCTCCTCTACTTCAGCCATAAAACTATCTTTCTGAATATGTTGTATTGAATGACCAAATATACTGTAATGTTATATTACGTGCAAATGTTCAGAGTCTTCCTCCTAGCCTTGCCTGGGTGTGAGGAGACAGTCCGTAGAGGATAACAGAAAAGATCAGGCATTTTTCCTGTGCTATTCTGTAATAAGTTTTTGAATAGTAAATTATTTTTTCTGGTGTTTCATTTGTTGTAACTTGACAGGAATTAGATATGCAAAAGAACAAGAGAAAACTTTGCAAAGCTTTGCATCTACACTGACCTGCCTATTTCAAGGTGCAAACCCTTGCTCTTGCTTCCTGTAAACACCATATTTCACATCTTGTTCTTCTGATTTTCCGTTCTTTTATACATTGAGTTATTTCCATCATTTCACCTGTTCCTGCATTGTCAGGTTAATGTTCCCTTCACCTGTGTTCACAGAGAATGCAAATAAACTGGAAGAAAGCGCGAGAGGGATCTACATCCCTTGTCCAGAGCATTACAATGGCTTCTGCATGCACGGCAAGTGTGAGCACTCCACTAACATGCTGGAACCGTCTTGCAGGTAACCCTTCTGCTACCAAGAAAGAAAGGCTACACACTTGAAAATACTGACTTACAAAAACTCTTAATCTAGGTAAACTATGGAAAATAATGGTAACCGTGGCCCTTTGTGCTACAAAACCCATTAGACTTAAATTATTCAACAAAGTCCCCATTATATGTGACAAAAGTGTGTTTAGTTATGCACAATGTTAATTGATTGTAAAAACATTCAGTAACCTTCAGCTATATTTAGATATATTTTAAAAAGCATTTCAGAAAGTGCTCAGACAACCGCTAGGTAGCCTCCTCAGCCTGAAGAGGAGGAGTGCCACCAGGGACATTGCCCTGCTGTGGCAGGAGTGATGCTCATGGGGCGGCGAGCTGGGGTGAAGGTGGCTTCTTCGTGCAGGAGGTGGCTTTGGAGGAGGTTAGGGCAGGGAGGAGGAGTAATAGCAAAAGCATGTGTTTCTGCAGTGAATGCCTCCCTGCAGAGATGGGGATATTAATTCTGAAGTCCAACCAGCGGCCTGGTGGCAAAGAAAAGGACTATTAGGCATGAAGCACCATTTTGCTGGGACATTGGACTGGGAGAGCAAAGATACAGACCAGACTTGCTCCCCAGGCCAGATCCTCAAGCCAGCTTCTCCCAGCTCCCGCAAACCGGCAGGGCATGTTTTGCTCTTTGCAGCTGCTGCGTTCTCCATTCAGCTTGGAAATGTCCTTTCCTCAAGCTGCTGGCTGCTGTGGGAATGCAGGAGAAGAAAAGGGTGGAAGCTCAAGGCTTTACCCATCAGGGTTAGTGCCCCGCTAATACTCCTGAGAGGAGCCCAGGCAATCTGGCTCAGTCTGGTATGGTTGCTGCTACCATTGACCTGGATTTTTGCATCTTCTTGCTTGGGCTTTTTAGGGGAAAGAGGGCAAGAGCTAAAATGGGAAAACCACTCTTTGTTCCCCAAAATCACAGAAGGGAGATGTCAGGCTGCAGGATGGGAACTAGTGAGCAGCGCAGCAGGCGGCATTGGGGTGGATGGTTGCAGCATCAACAGAAGGTTTTTTATAGCAGCCAGACAAAATGTAAATGATGTATCCACTTGCAGGAACATCTAATCACATTTCATATGGAGCTTGGATGATTGCTTATCACCTCCTTAGGGGTAATCTGCATAAGGAGCCACAACTAGATGGCTTTTCACCCTCCCCCACCTCCCCAAAGAAAGGTAGAAATCTAAAATATGTTGTGCAAGGAACTAAATGGATTCTCATCACAACGCGCAAGTAGTTCTACTTGATGTTAGACAAGTCCCAGACCCTGGACACCTTCTGTCACTGTTGCAGTGTCGTTCAATCTCGCAGACCTTGGTGATGCTGAGGACCTGAAGTCTTCCCTCTGAGAGGTCGAGGAGGCACCAGTGCTCTCTTGCGGGCGGGGGCACATCTTGCAAAAAAACATATAAGCTTATGCTTAGGCCACTGATTTATTTTTTTTTTCAGATTTAATTTTTTTTTTTTTGCATTCTTTGAAAGCAGCAAGTGTAACTGGAAAAAATATTTTTTGTTTCAGATGTGATGCCGGCTATACTGGACAACACTGTGAAAAAAAGGACTACAGCGTTTTATATGTGGTTCCAGGTCCAGTACGATTTCAGTACGTCTTAATAGCAGCTGTGATTGGAACCATCCAGATTGCTATCATCTGTGTTGTAGTCCTCTGTATTACAAGGTCAGTATCTCTGGTACTTCTCAATAGAAGAAGAAAAGACTTTTGTTTTTCCTACTTTGTGCTCTGATTATACAGATTTCTGCAGTGACACTGCTGATAACAAATGTTGTTTAATTCACCAACAAACAGAAGATATTGTCTGGTCCAGCCAGCCAGTGCTGCTTCATTATTATCACCGAGTTTTTACTTCCATCTTAATCAAACTTAGGTAGCAACAGTGCCTACAGCAAGTGAAGTTTCCTGTTTTGTATTCAGATGCTTGGACAAATATCATTCATATAAATAAGAGGAATATAAATACAGCAGCTGGATCAACACTTAATAAAACTAATCATATCTCCATCTGGTTTCCTCAAGGGCCCATTCCCTTAGTCCTAATCAGGCAAAGCATACAAACTTCTAAGCCTGTTTGCAATCCCATTGATTAAATGATTTCATTAGGCTTGTATACATGTTCAAAGGTACTGCACATGTTTAAGGCCTTCAATAGGTAGTGGCACACCAAGCCATATATGATTTTTTTTTTTCTTTAATGAGGAGGAAAGCATTTTTTGAATAGAAATGACAGCTCTGGTGTAGTTCAGAACAAGAGGGGAGAATGCAATGCTTCCCCTCATACACATGCTGCTCTGCTTCCCAGCTGAACTGTGTTACTGCATCTGGGAGGGCTTGGGGTAAGCTCTGCACTCCAGGTGTCTTCAGGTTTCTTTCAGAAATTACGAGGTCAGATTTGCTGAGCTAGCAACACTGATAAATCACTTTTTTAGAAATAAATTTCTTTTAAAAAGACAAAAAAAAATTCAGGTAGTATACCTCTGTAGAAAATAAGATCTCTGATATATCTCAGTCCCTATGTTGCACTACCTGGCTAGAAGACAACTGTAGCATTTGTTCTGGAAAAGACACCCCCCAAAAAATTGTGAGTCCTTCTCTGGCCTAAACGCATAAAACAAAATCATCTGATGAAAAGTAGCTACTTTTTTGACCAAGTTGAGTCCAAAAGCTACCTGGTAAATGCTGAATGAGGCAATAGATTATATTGTGGTGATATTCGCAGAAGTAATTCAACCAACCAAAAATGTAGTGTGTAGTAACAAAAAAAAAAGTGGTGTAGTAATTGCTAATGGAAGAAATGCTCTGTATCATTTTGTGGAGTGACTCTAGTTTTGTCACCTTGACGCAGTAACGCAGAACACTTTATACTGAAGAATGAAGACAGTGTGCGCTGAGTGATCTGGTACTGTAATCCAAATTACCCATCGCACTGCTTTATACATAGATGGTACCTTTTCCCCACACACTTTGTAACCAAGTTAATTCATGATCTTTTGACTTCTTTCTGTAATGCATGTAATTACTGCAGAGCATCCTCCATCCCAGCATAATGATTCGAGATACATTTGCAAAAGTGTACCCTTAAGTGGCCTAAGAGAAATCCACATGACAAGAGAGCATTGTGGCAGCATATGCATAAGTAATTGAGTTTTTTAAGTCATCTGCTTTGGAGAACCTGACTGTACTGGTTTGAACTCCACACCTTGAACTCTTGAAAGCACTACAACCACCCTGCCAGATTCCTAGGAGAAAGGAAGGGAAACTTCACTCACTCAGAGGCCACTGCGGCCAAATTCTCTGCCCCTCATTTCGACGCGGCTTCACCTAATTAATTTATCAAATGAGTTTGGTGCACTGTGTCTAAACCCTACATGTGAGCCACATAAGACTACCATTGTAAATCTTTCAGCTGTCGTTACTCTTGTTGCTTTTAAAATCATACTTACACGGTGGTGCAAATCTACGGGGTGTCCTCCATTGCTGGAAGGTTCTGAGCAGTTCCCGGCGTACTTTTAGGGCCATTGTTGCACAGACAATTTAATCTGGATAAATGAGCTGTGCTGCTGACAGGGGCAGTCTGCCCTTGCCCCTTCCCCTGGCTCCTGGCCACTTGGTCCTACCAATGCTCTTGTGCCACCATTAGCATTTAGAATCATCTAGGTTGGAATGGACCTTCAAGATCATCGAGTCCACCATTTGTGTGGCCATACAACGAACCTGATCAGGGGACAGATTCAGCTGAAAACTCAACCAACAAAACCAATGATTTGTTTTTAAGCAACTCAATTCCTTGATTAGGTTGGCCTTCTAGCTACTCGCCACTAGTGCCAGCAGTGGGAATAAGCGGCTGGGGTGGAGGAGTAGGGGACCAGAGGCCAAGGGGTACGGAGGGAAGGGGGTGCAGCAGTGAGGCACAGTCCCTACGCCCGAGGACTTTCAGCTCAGGGGTAAGGCAAAAGAGAAGCAATGATAAAAGCGAAGGAGGATGGTAAATAATATAGGTATGGCCTGGTGTCATAATGATTCTCAGCAGTTTTCTTTACAGCTTTGCATTTTTAGTGCTTCCCTAATGTTTAGTCACAGCAGCTTATTTATGTGAAGAAATAACTTGATTAAAAATGAATGCATAATGTGTTTTACCTGCTATGAATCACATTGTAAGTAACTCAAGCTTGCAAGCAAGCTTCAATGGAGGGAGGGCAGGCAGCCTGTGCTCCAGTACCTAGTTTACATTGATATAACTGCTGTGTTCATAAATGAAAGCATTCCCCACACAGAGCACTACAAAGAACTTTTGATTAATGAGTTAAGGACCAAGGAAAAGCTGTCACTCAATTTTAGCAGATGATTAAGTCTAAAAAGCTGGTTAAATGCCAACGCCCCTCTTAGGAAACCCAGATGCACTTCAGACACCACCTACCTGTAAATGCAATAGCATTGCATTTAAGAAGTTGTGGTGTCTGTACGTGGGCCTGGGGCCTTCCCGGGCTTCCATCAATCAGTGGCGTAGTGTATTGTGCAATTAAAACATGGGCATTTTTGTTTAAGAGATGCTTTTTCATCATCTTAGTTGGAGGAATCTCTAAGTTTGAATCGATTTCTCTTGACCTTGGACTAAGTGACCGTATAGATACTGTCAGTGTCAGTTTGGGGAAAGCGCCTGAGATGCACATCTCCTTGCTTCCAGCCGGAGCAGTCAGTATCCACTGTTCTCTGGGAATGCACGGCTGCATCCGCTGGATTGCTGGCCATCCTGGTCATCCCCCAGCCAGCCGGTACCTCCATGTTTCGTACTAAACCAGTCCAGTTGTGCCCACTGTGGCTTCCCACACCTGGTTCCCCAACCCTGCTTCACACAGCTGGGCTCTGGGGCAAAGCAGGGCTGCGCCTTCTGGTGTAAATCCTCATCCTCTGGGACTCGGAGGGGACACCCTGGCAGCTTGGTCAGCCTGTGTGG